AGTAAACAAATCAGTCAGTATGTAAATCATCAAATAGCAGGTAAGCAGGTATGTTTATTCAGTTTGATATTTGATGCTTTAAATGGTACATTTGTTGATTAATAAAACTGGAAATACAAATAAGGCAGTATGAAATACAGAATAAGAGTTATTGTGTTTTTTGTTAGTGTTTTGTAAAGAGCGGTTTTTGATTCACTGATCAAGTTATCCAGATCGACACAGAGTCAGTGTCTGAGGTTAATTTTCGTTTTGTTGCTGAAGCTTGAAGTTATGCTCAACAGTCAGTTTGCCTTTCCAAAAGATGGAATGGAACGGAAAATTTATCACAGTTCGAGTGTCGGTCTTCCTTCATTTTCGCAATTGGGTCATTTTGGCAGCTATCTTTTCATGAATTTGATGGTGCAGTGACGATCTACTTTTCTCTGCCATCAACCGGGAATACATTACTTTTTAAGCGTAGAGTCTACAGTTGTATGGCAGCCGTTGCGTATAGACTACTGTTTCTTTCTCATTTAGTAGTACTCTTTTATCAACCTCAGTCGAAAGAATGGCGAGTGACCCTGACCGGGGCTTTGACTTGGGACCTGTCGGTTCTGAGTTCCATACGATTCTGACCGAGCAACCTCGATCTGAAGCAGTGTGTGGTAAATTCCATACTCAAGGGAATTCTTTGGAGCAGAAACGAACCCGGCACCTCTAGAGTTTACAGCAAATCTCTTAGACACTGTGCCAACACTTCAGATGAAAAGCTGATGACTGTGACTGGCAATGACCAGAGGCTTAGTCCATATTAATGTGCAAAACAAAGACGGAATGATTTTTTCATTTTCTTACCCCCTTAACACAGTATATGAGTCCTATGACACTAGCTAAACGGAAGCATGAAAAAATCAACATATAGGACGACAACATCACGATTGATCGCGCCATATCGCACCATTATATTTCGATCCCTTATAACTGATGATCACGTGTATAGCTTTTATTTATTATCCGTGCTTATGTAAACAAGTCACACATAAAGTTTTTTAGGTGCTGGTAAAAGTCTGTGCTATCAGCTCCCATCTGTTGTTACCCCTGGAGTCACGATCGTTGTGTCCCCATTAAAGTCGCTCATTGAAGACCAAGTACAGAAAATGAAGAAACTCGACGTAAGCACATCCATTGCTGAACTAATTCTCTAAATACTTAAACGTATGCCTCTTATAAAACTGACGATTTTGCAAACACCTGTGAGTTTTCAAGAAAACAAACACCTGTACTCGTGATATTTCAGATGTTGATAGGCTGACATCCTTTTAGAACAGGACGTTGAAAGTCATAGATGAACGACATGATCTAAAGCCAAGTCGCTGTTTTGCTACAATCATATTCTTAATGCGGTTTCAACAACTAACTCATGTTTTATCTCACTGAGTGAGGAGATATTCTCGTTTTTGACTGTGTGCTCCCACTCTCGGTATCTTTCTAATAGAAACACATCTGACGTTCTATAACGCCATCGCGCTGACTGCCTCC